ATATATATATATATATATACATACATATACATACATATATATATAAGCCCTATATCTATCATATGTGACGGTGTTTATACTAATTAGGTGTTTATACTGATTAGTTGGCTTATGTTTCGATTCTACACCTATATCATGGATTTTTCATATTGATTTGATTCACCTAATCTTCCAAGCAAAATGAATCCCTAGATGATTCAGAAACAAAATCAAGTAATTGAGAAGATTACAAGCTTCCTGATTTATTAAGTGCGAGCAAGGAAATGTAATATAATTTTTCATATTTAGATATGTTAACACTATAATATGGAAAACTATTGTAGTTTGAACCATGAGGAGTTCAAGTGTAACCACCAGTAGCATTTTGTGCTTTGTATTTCTAAAGCATTCATCAGAAAATTTCTCATTGAACTCTTGCTTTTGTTTAGTGTTTTTTGGCTTGATACCTCTTTAATATCTCTAATCAGTTAATATTCTTACTCGGAATCTGAGTGACCAGATTTTTTTTTTAATCTATGACATTAAGGTTAGTAATTAGAAATAGGAGCAGAAGTAGGGCGACTTCCCATGATGATGAAGACAGATTATTATCAATATTTTGTGCTCTATACCTATTACCTATAATAAGTTAAGATCTTTATATCGTAAATAGTTCTTATGTTTCACATGTCGGTAACATACCAGAACATGCTTGGTGAATGTTTGCTTCACATTTAGGTTTGTAAGTACCTAGAAAGGGTTTTTGTATTTACTTAAAATAGAGATTTAGAACAGTGCTATCAAAGCGCATTGCGATACTCAAAGCTTTATTTTTGCTTCAAAGTAGAAAATGCAGAGCGAAGTGGAACTTGTATTAACCTAAACGCTAGTAGGTTATATGAAACTATTAATGTATCAATATATTTATTAACAATTGCAAATTATAAAGTATAACTCAATAGTTGATATAAAATAGAAAAAAGTGGCACAATATAAAACTTAAAGTCAAATACAGGGTAAATTTACAAATTAAAATTTCAAGCAATTTCAAATTTGTTGCAATAATTAAAAACTAAAAATTGCAAAGAAATCCTACAAGTTAACTTCATCACTTCGAAGTGCGCCTCAGCGAAGTGAAGCGGGCGTCACACTCTTTGCTTTGTTTAACTCGTGAAGTGTTCATATATATATAAGCCCTATATCTATCATATGTGACGGTGTTTATACTGATTAGGTGTTTATACTGATTAGTTGGCTTATGTTTCGATTCTACACCTATATCATGGATTTTTCATATTGATTTGATTCACCTAATCTTCCAAGCAAAATGAATCCCTAGATGATTCAGAAACAAAATCAAGTAATTGAGAAGATTACAAGCTTCTTGATTTATTAAGTGCGAGCAAGGAAATGTAATATAACTTTTCATATTTAGATATGTTAACACTATAATATGGAAAACTATTGTAGTTTGAACCATGAGGAGTTCAAGTGTAACCACCAGTAGCATTTTGTGCTTTGTATTTCTAAAGCATTCATCAGAAAATTTCTCATTGAACTCTTGCTTTTGTTTAGTGTTTTTTCGCTTGATACCTCTTTAATATCTCTAATCAAATAATATTCTTACTCGGAATCTGAGTGACCAGATTTTTTTCTTAATCTCTGACATTAAGGTTAGTAATTAGAAATAGGAGCAAAAGTAGGACGACTTCCCATGATGATGAAGACAGATTATTATCAATATTTTGTGCTCTATACCTATTACCTATAATAAGTTAAGATCTTTATATCGTAAATAGTTCTTATGTTTCACATGTCGGTAACATACCAGAACATGCTTGGTGAATGTTTGCTTCACATTTAGTTTTGTAAGTACCTAGAAAGGGTTTTTTGTATTTACTTGAAATAGAGATTTAGAACAGTGCTATCAAAGCGCAATTCTTAGAAGGGGATCCTCCCCCCTCCATTTACCTTTTCTTTTAATTAACGCGTGGGAATTTATTAACCAAAATGCTAGTAGGTTATATGAAACTATTAATGTATCAATATATTTATTAACAATTGCAAATTATAATGTATAACTTAATAGTTGATATAAAATAGAAAAAAGTGGCACAATATAAAACTTAAAAGTCAAATATAGGGTAAATTTACAAATTAAAATTTCGAGCTATTTCAAATTTGTTGCAATAATTAAAAAATTGCAAAAAAATCCTACAAGTTAACTTCATCACTTCGAAGTGCGCCTCAGCGAAGTGAAGCGGGCGTCACACTCTTTGCTTTGTTTAACTCGTGAAGTGTTCATTTAAAAACATTGGTATAGATTATGTTTTTGGTCTGTTTTTTTTTTTTTTGGTAGCTATAAATGGTTATTCGTGTTGATTCAGTGGTACAATTAGTATTTCAAAAGGTCTTTTCTTCTCTCATTCATGATGGTCCATCTTGTTGTATAGTAGGCTCACCATAATTTAATGAAGATGTTTTTATTTTTCTTTTTTCTAATCATCAAAGTTGGTTTTATAGTTTATCAAGGCTAAAGCAGCTAAATTTCTGTATAGTTAAGTAGTTTCACTAGTTTTCTTTAAATGCCTATAGCTTTTACTTATTTTTTATGCTCTATTCACTTAATGCTACTCATTCCTTTAGTTTTGTAGGGTATGTATGTATTATGTATGTTGTTAGTTATAAAATGTATTTGTTTATAAATATTTAGATTGTTAACGGACCTGAAGTACTGAGCAAGTATGTTGGAGAGACAGAAAAAAATGTGAGGGATTTATTTGCTGATGCAGAACAAGACCAAAAGGCACGAGGTAAAGTATTAACTTTCGAGTATTATAGATGAATTGTATTCTGTTAATAATTTTATGACACATATCTTTTCTTTTTTGATTTATTTTTCAGGTGATCAAAGTGACTTACATGTCATCATATTTGATGAAATTGATGCTATCTGTAAGGTAAGACTATTGGAATATTCTTATATTTTTTCCAATCTTTGTGGACAAATTTATGGAAATGTAATTTTTTAAAACTTTTAAAAGAGCATAAATGAGTGACCATGTTAACTTTTTCCGCAGTAAAAGGTTGTGTTTTAATGTATAATACATATTTTAATTTGGCAATTTGGATTTCATAGCATACTATTCTTGGGATACTTTTGAATATTATGTTGTTTGTGCTCCTTCTTTGTGAAGATTGGCATGACTGAACATCATTATTTTATTCTGAGCTGTATTCTAAATTTGATTTTTTATTTTGATATTTAACAGAACTAAAAATATTGATTCTTATGAAATATTCAACATTTAGAATTTAAATTTCTAATTGCAAATATTTGTATGTTCTCAGTTAGCTGCATTTACGTTTAAATTTTTGCCGCCTATTTTTTGTTTTGTAGTTGTCTTCAATAGCTATTCCAAATAAAATATTATTCTTTCAATTTTTCAAAGGATTTGCTCTTCGTAGATGATTTATTCTCTTAGTGCCATATCATGTGTACAATCTGTTTCCACCAACCAGTGATTAACACTGGTTGTCCTAATTGTAGCATATTATTCTTGGGATACTTTTGAATATTATGTTGTTTGTGCTCATTCTTTGTGAAGATTGGCATGACTGAACATCATTATTTTATTCTGAGCTGTATTCTAAATTTGATTTTTTATTTTGATATTTAACAGAACTAAAAATATTGATTCTTATGAAATATTCAACATTTAGAATTTAAATTTCTAATTGCAAATATTTGTATGTTCTCAGTTAGCTGCATTTACGTTTAAATTTTTGCCGCCTATTTTTTGTTTTGTAGTTGTCTTCAATAGCTATTCCAAATAAAATATTATTCTTTCAATTTTTCAAAGGATTTGCTCTTCGTAGATGATTTATTCTCTTAGTGCCATATCATGTGTACAATCTGTTTCCACCAACCAGTGATTAACACTGGTTGTCCTAATTGTAGCATATTATTCTTGGGATACTTTTGAATATTATGTTGTTTGTGCTCCTTCTTTGTGAAGATTGGCATGACTGAACATCATTATTTTATTCTGAGCTGTATTCTAAATTTGATTTTTTATTTTGATATTTAACATAACTAAAAATATTGATTCTTATGAAATATTCAACATTTAGAATTTAAATTTCTAATTGCAAATATCTGTATGTTCTCAGTTAGCTGCATTTACGTTTAAATTTTTGCCGCCTATTTTTTGTTTTGTAGTTGTCTTCAAAAGCTATTCCAAATAAAATATTATTCATTCATTTTTTCAAAGGATTTGCTCTTCGTAGATGATGTATTCTCTTAGTGTCATATAATGTGTACAACTTTTTTCCACCAACCAGTGATTAACACTGGTTGTCCTAATTGTAGCATTCCCCATCACCATTCTTTTTTTTTTTAGGTTTCTTGAACTTTTTATTGCTATACATTTAGCTATTCAATTTTATTATTGAGTTTCATAATTGTGTGACCTTTTTGTGTTTTTGTGCATTTAATTCTTTTGATCTCGTCAGGTTGTATTTCAGTATTTTTCTATAAAAATCATTATATTAGAAAAAGTTTGGAGTTATATATATTGAAGAGGAGATCGAAACTTGATTTAGGTGTTTAAGGAATGTACAATGAATAGTAGAAATACACCCATTAGATAATGTTACAAATTTAATTTTGGAAGTTTAGTAAGGAAAGTTGGTTAACCTAAGTTTAAATAAATAAAAATTGTTCAGAATGATTTATAAAGACTAACTTTAGTACTTCAATAGGAACTATAGAAAATGGGAGAGGTAAGTTGGTTGTGGTATCCTGAATGGTAAGGCGCTATCTTCTTCCTTAGTGGTGGCTTAGGGTTGAATGTTGGAGGCTTTTGAGAGGTGAGGTGAAGGTTGGGTTTGGTTTTATGGTGGGCTTGGATGTTGGCTGAGATTCTCTTCTTGAGGGGGATTATTGGAGTTTTAGGGTTGAGATGATCTTAGATTTTATTTGGGTCAAGCGTGGTCAAGACATGTAAAGGTCTTGGTAGGGTTATGTGCGCCTTGGAGGAAAAACAACGAGTGTTGGTTGGGGTGAGGGCTATGGAGTTTATGGGGGTCTTCTCTTAGGCTTGGGGAGGGGTTATGGATGTCAGCTAGGGTTTGGTTTAGGGGAAAATTGAGAGGCAAAAATGAAAGGGAGAGGAACTTTGCATAGGAGATAACAAGTTCACTAATACTCCAAGAGAGGGGAATGGCCTCCAAAAAAAAATGATGATTCTGTTTGTTGGAAAGAGGTGAGGGTCCTACAAGTAGGCAAGGGAAATAAGAGTCCATAGATCCACCTCCCACTTTTGTAAGGCGAGTGATCATAATACTAATTTTCCCTCCCTTCTTATGGCACGTGCTTGATTGTTTTCATGAAATGGCCAATCTCATACCTTTTTCTGGGAATTGTAATCTTGCTGATGATAATCTTGTAATCTTTGTACAGTGCTTTGTTAATTATGATCATGTTTTAATACTGATCCCAATTGGTTGGGATGAGTCCAATGATGATAATATATGAAATAAATTTTCTTTTTCATGCCTTTTACTTTGAAGATCCTATGTACTTCTAGGCTTTTTATAAGTATCTTTTTAAATGATTACCATAATTTTTAAAATAACATTTTCCTTGAAGGCTATTCTTTTTATTTTGACAGACTAGAGGGTCAACAAGGGATGGCACCGGTGTTCATGATGGTATTGTGAACCAGCTTCTCACTAAGGTGAAATTTCACTGACTTGATTTAACGATGAATATCATTTTGTTTTATAGGCTGACGGTTTGCATTATAGATTGATGGTGTTAATTCCTTAAACAATGTCCTCCTCATTGGAATGACCAACAGGAAAGATTTACTGGATGAAGCATTATTAAGGTTAATCCATTATTAAATATAATTCTTAATAATTGTTTTTATATAAAACTGTAATTTGAAAAATTTTGATTACTCATCAACCTTGACATCTATGATGTGCGATATTAGATAAAAGGCAATACTTGTAACATAGAAACATATGAAGGTTTTATTCCCTAAACAATATATAATATATAATAACTAGAAAAATAATGTTCTCATCATTTTCCCAAGAAACTTAGCATTTAGAATAGTATCACAAACAATTACATAGGCTTGTGTTAAATAATTATGATTAATAATCTGCTACAAATGGAATTGTGAATCATAGCAACACTTCAAGGGTGGCAAATTGGGGATAAGAAGTGGAAAATCTTTGTAGTTGAATAGTCCTATACTTAAACTCTACAAAACATTTCAAAAGAAAAGAAAAAAAAGCCCATGAATGAAGAAATAAGATAAAAGGGCAAAGAGTAAAAAATAAAATAAAAAAATTTAACAAACTTCCTAGGATTAAGAAAGTGGTCATCCAATACATTTTACCTCAGTCGTTTTTGTTAATCACCTTAAATGCAATGCTTACTTATCTTATGGGTCATGTGCATGTTGAAGGGTTTGTACTATTTTTGGTTTTCTTTGATTTGTTAGATTGCATATTTGTCACTTACTTTGGGATTTGTTGTTTATGGAAATATGTTTGAATTTTGGCTGATGGAAATATGATATTCTTTTATCATCAGTAATTTTTTTTTCTTAAAATCCAATTTAGAAAGTTTTTTGCTGTTTGTTAATATCTATCTTCATATATAGGCCTGGTCGATTGGAGGTTCTTGTTGAGATCAACCTTCCTGATGAAAATGGACGTCTCCAAATCCTACAAATACATACCAGCACAATGAAAGAAAACTCTTTTCTAGCCGTAGACGTAAATCTTCAAGAGCTCGGTATGTCTATCAATAAATATATTGGAGTCCTGAAGTAAAATATTAAAGTCAGTATGTGTTGTTTTAGTCTGTATTGTTTGTCAAATAGGTTGTGATCAACAGGAAAAAATATCTTAAAATAAGTTTTTTAAATAAGCTAGTGTTCAACTAATTTTTACTTTTGACAAGCAATTATTACTTTTTAAAGGCAGACATTTTAATGTTTGAATGATTGCTTTCTCTGATTATCATCATCATTGGATTATAAATATTTTTCACTCATTCTAATTATGAGATAAACTCTGTATTCCTTTGCACTTGATTATTTTGAACTCCTAAGTAATTTTAGGGTTATTTCAATACTGTAATTTTACATGTTACTATTTTGGCATTGCTTTGATTTTGCTCCCCACACCCCCGCCCACCACCACCCCCCCCCACCTAAATTGTTTTCTCTATCTTTAGGTTTATATTGTGTTTTAAATAGATTTGAATCATCTTCTATTTTAAGTGCTGAAAATGTCATACTAATAGAGGACAATGCTCTATTATCGTGGCTTCATTTCAACATAATACTGTTATGTATT